GAGATTGGCATGGCTCCAGACTCTTGACAAATTATGGAAAATCCCTTTTGCTTCCCCAAGGCGCCGCGTAAGTTCCGCCCGAGGCTTGCCATCGGTGCTGATCAGTCCGCCCAAATACACAGCATGATCCTTACATTTGATTTCTTCGCCGTCTGGCCCGTAAATGGCCCCTTCCGCCCGTATTTTGAGTAATACCGTTTTCCCGGCATTTAGTTCCAAGCCGTACTTCGCCCCCACAGCCACGACCGCGTCCAGATGTGCTTGAAGTTCGTCTGGTTCCCGGGCTACGAGCATTGTGTCGTCAGCGCACAGGACATCTCTGGTAATAAGATAATGGCGTGTCGGCCTGCGCGGTAATGTCAAATCCATGCGTTCGTCAACATGTTGCAAAAGTACAGACATGACAATGATAAACAAGTAAGGTGATAAAGGGCAGCCTTGCGCGATACCAGCTGCTTGTGTCCTCTGCGACGTCGTTGTGCCCCCATCTTGCACTACAAACTTCCGTGTCTTGCATATGCCTTTGATCATGTCGATCATCGCCGGCGGAATGCGAAATTCTCGTAAAGCATGAACAAGACCTTCTGGGTGGATCCGGTCAAAGGCCTTGCTCCAGTCCAGCAGTAGAAGGAGCAGCTTGCCCTCTTTGTCTTCGAGTGTTGCGTCGATCAGCCTGCGAGCCAAGAACAAAGCCTCGCTGGTGCCGCGTTTGGGCCTGAAGCCGTATTGGGATTCTCGCATTGCCTTTTCGCATCCTCCTTGTTTGAGCCTGTGTAACAATGTGCTGGCGAGTACTTTATATCCAACTGTAAGTAGTGAGATAGGCCGGTAGTTGGAAGGCAAGGAAGTGCCCCCCTTTTTGAAGATGGTGACAACTGAGGATTCTCGCCATTCTTGCGGGATGTCCTTCTTCTCCCAGCACGCGCTGCACAAAGCCGTTAAGATGTCCAACGCCGCGTCGTCATCCCAAAGTGCTCGCCATAATTCCGGTGGCACTCCATCTGTTCCCGCTGCTCGCTGAATGCGTAAATGTTTAACTGCCCGCTTTACCTCTTCAGCCGTGATGGGACCAAGCTCTATGGGTAAATGCCCCCCTTCGGCATTGAAGTCGGCGAAATGAGATCCGCCAGGAGGCGGTCGCCATTGAACATGTTCAAGATAATCTGCCATAGTGTCAGCCCGTTCAGAGGAGTCTACTAGGCGGCCATCTGCGTCACGGAGTCGTCCGCATTTGTGCGCACGTCCTTTCCGTAAGCTTTTGATCATGTCCCACCCATTGCTCTCGATGCCCTCTGTGAGCCATCGATTTTTGTCTGCCTTGGCCGATTGCCGGATCATTCTGTTCAATTGTCTCTCCGGCGTCGTGCTGATTGCCATCCCTCTTTGACGTGCCGTGTTCCTCTCGTCGATCAGGTGGAGAGTACGGTCCGAGATCCAAGGTCGCAGGCGTGATGCTTGCTGTGCTGGGATACAAGCGGCGGCAGATTCCAACATGCACCTAGATACCGCAGCAGCGTGCTCGTCAAGCGAAGTCTGCGCCGGTTGCTTCTGCCATTCCCCCACAAAGTGCGAAATGTATTGACGTTGCACGCTTTCGTCTTGCAGCGCCTTCGTATCGAACATCGGCTTCTTTTGCTTGCGGCTCGTCTTCGGTATGTTGATGTTCAGTTCCACGACTTTGATGAAATGGTGAGACTGGAGATGATGATCGCGACTGCCCAATATGTCATAAATACAATGCATCCAATTTTTAGCCACAATTATGTGGTCCAGCTGCTCGAAGTTACCGGACACGATGGCACTGGACGGCTCTATGCCGATATCGTGGTAAGTGACTGCGTGCTCGTCTGCGTGCTTGAAGTATGTATTAGCAACACACGCGTCAAGAGTATGACATAATTCCACTAGCAATTCACGGTTGGAGGTTGGGCTCCACGCCGAGAACGGATTACGGAAAACATGTTATCCTATAACGTCTTCTTCGCCAGCATATTGCTCTAGAAGCCGGGCGTTGAAATCACCAAGTATAATTGTTGGACCATGGGACCGGCATTTGTCAGCAAATACTGCCAAATCTGTGTAATAATCTCTTCGCGTATCGTATTCGTGCACATTAGTCCAAGCGCACGTTGTAATCAATGTTAAGACGCCTCCAGCAACACGTATACGAAGACTTGCCATTCGACTGCTCTGTTGTATGTAACCCTTGATTGCTTGTTTCGCCCACGGTGCTACGATGAACCCGACTCCCGCGTATTCTCGTGTATCCTCCTCCTTCCCAGATAGAATAACACAAAAACCTTCGACATCGAATACTGGTGATCCTTTGCAGTGCGTCTCTTGAAGACAAAGCACTGCAATGTCCATGTCCCGCATATGCTTAATTAGCTCATGTAGCTTGTACGGCAGGTCCAAACTGATGCCTTCGGCATTCCACGTTGCAATCCTGCCGCACGCGACCGGCAAGCATGGGAATGTTACCCATTTTCCGGTCGGAGCTGTGATGCTGCCAATGCACCGTCGTATTTCCTACTCCTGCCGATTGCCACCCTTCTTGCCTTTGCCGTTTCCTTTCGTTGCCCGGCCCAGCGTGTCATTCGCCCTCTCGGTCAGATAGCGTACTTCTGCACTGTTGGTAAGATCCCTCCAATTTGCCCATGGCCCTTTCCACGATATCTGGATAGCGCCGTTCACGGTTGAAACTGCCACCACGGGGTCCTTCGCAACCGTGAGATTGCATTCCGTCGTGTCCACACGTACTTCTCCCTTGGAGTATCCCCATTCCAAAAATTGCTTGCGTAGGCCGAATAGGAAGCTCTCGGGCACGCGCTTCTCGATGGGCTGGTCAGCTCGCGTCCATACAGTGTTACTGGAATGCTTGATTTGCGATTTACCGAAAGCGTTCACGAACCTGTCCCGGGCGTCCTTTGTGCCGAACTTGGTGAAGATGATTGTGTTGAAGTCGCCTTTCACGAAGTAATCGACAGGTTCTGGGAACTTGTGATGTTCAATTTGTTGTTTGATGAACTGAACCGCCGTGTCAAAATCCCCGCAATCACCCAAACCACCAATAACGGCAATGCACTCCTGGCTGTTACCATTCATGTTCGCGAACTGCTTTTCCAACTCCCGAATCTTGTGCTTTTAAAATAATTGTCCGGCTCTCTTGGGACTTTCTGAGAGCCTTTAAGACCCCACTTTCTCCCACCCCCGCTACATCCCGATTTGCCCCCCACGCAACCTCCGCGTTTCAAAACAAAGAAAAGTGGGGCGGCGTTGTCTGCCCCCTCAGGGGCGTTCAATTAATAAATGTCAATCGTTCTCCTGCTGATCTCCACTCGCGACGCAGAATTCGTCGCTAACTCAAGTGCGCGTCACCAGCATCGTCATCAGCACAACGATCGCAGTTGCCATGAGTTGGTTCTATCCCCCCTAATATCCTTATCACCTGAAGGGTAGTCGTTTTCTGTACACAAAGTTCGTTGCTTGGCCAGGCCACGAATGCAAGATTTGGGGATCTCTCCAAGCCCTCTGGGTACTCTTTTGGACACACTTGGACGCACGCGGGGGCCTGTTGCGACCCTCTTCGGCACCTCCTCGGGCATGTGGGGCAATCTTAACCTATGTAAGCATGAAAATCCTGTTTGTGCCCAGGCCTCAGCATTAACGCTGTGTGCCTGAGTGGGTAGGGCAACTCGGAGCCCAATGGGAGCTCAAAAGCGAAACATACAATCAGGAAAGTTGTACATGTTCGATCTGGGACTCTCGGTGGGAGCCTTCCGAAGCTCCTGGGCCAACCCAGAATGTACGTGGCCCCTGGGAGCCATGCGGGGGGGCATCTTGAGCCAATTCCCACCAGACCTCTAGGCGCAGTCGACTAGAGCGCCTCCTCTTCCGAAAGGCATGCTTCCCTCCGGAGGGGAGCGTACCGCTCCCCCCACTCGCGCCGAAAAGCTTCCCCCCTTGCCTAGCCAGGGGAAGAGCTTGCACGGCTCCCAAAGGTCGACAAGAGAGGGAGTCCGTTTCACTCGGCGTGGAGGCGATCCCGAGCCGTCTGGTGGCGGGTTTCTTTCCCGTTCCAATGGTGATCTCTCCGCACTCGGGAAATTCGCCAGTGCCCCCTTGTCGTTGAGTGGAGGGCGGGGGGGCAATTCACGGACAGGACTCTCTAGCACGCGGCGAGCGCGCTTGACCCGAAATTGCAACGCCAAGGGTCCCCCCTCTGGCTCGACTGCGTCAGTGCCACATAGTGCCGCAAGCCCGTGCTCAACCAAACCCGAAGCTGGGGCAAGCTAAAACATGCAGAGCAGAGCAAGGCAAACGAAGCAGAGTCTGGGAGAGCAATAAACCAGGGCATAGAGGTCCCGCCGAAGGAATGCTGAAGAGATGGGGCCTGAGAACCCAAGAACTTGGGGGTTGGCTAGACCGCACCGAGCCTCTTGCGCAGAACATCAAGGACCCCTTAAGCAAAGCCTGGTTGGGAAATCGTCGACTCAACACCCCTGGCTTCAGCAGGCCACCAGCTCCCTAGCCAAGGGCAAGAAGCGACGCTATGCATCTTTATCAAGGGGGGTCGGTGGCAGATGGTGTCTTAGGACACGATACTGCTGGATTCTGCTGATAAGACCGAGTGACTTGGGACCCGACGCTTGTCACATTGGGTTGGTGTTGCTGCCGCTTCTGCGCCCGTTTGCCAGCGACGCTGGCATCTCTGGTATGTTCTTCGACGTCTTGCACAAAACTCCTCCTGGTGCATGTAAGCTGGCTCGCTACCATGGGGAACCTCCAACTATGAGGTGAGCACATTGGCAATTCACCTTTCGCTTCAGTCACGGCGCGGCGCCTGAACTCCGATGGTCGCTGGAATGTGTTGCGCCCGACTCCCGACGAGTGAGCTGGTCGATGCGAAAAGGACGGTCGCTTGACGGGAGGAGGGGAAGGGAGAGGAAGGGCAAGAAATACAGGACAAATTTGGGGAGGTCCAAAAAGAGAGGCGGTTCCTCGCCAGCTTCTGGCTGACCATGTCGTCTGTCCTCGCCCGCCACGCGCTGAACAGAGCAGCGCCCCGGCGTGACGCGTAAGCGCGGACGCCAGAGCATACATGCAATAGGTGGCGGAATCCGACCCCTACCCCCACCAACCATCGAGTCTCCCGAATTGGTGGGAGGGAGCGGGGGCTGGGATCGGATTCCGCCACGTTCTCGACGAACTCCGAATCCGAACCCCGCCGCCCATCGAGTTGCCTGGACCGTTGATCGGCGAGGGTAGGTGTCGAATTTCGCCAGCAATACATGGTAGGCGCTGGCGAGAGATGGATTCATTGGAGGGGAAGCTTTGGAGCGCCAGTGCCTCGCCCACCAGTTAACTCCCGCCCACAGCTCGACTTGGAGGGGCTCAGTGGCACCAAGCGGGCCCTACGAGGCACGAGCCAACCCCGAGAAACTTTCAGAAGGCACCAAGGGATTTCAGCATACGGAAAATCACTCTGGGCCTCGGGAGCCGAACAAATAATTCCATTGCGCTGGGACCCCCCAGAAGCCAGAACGAAAACTTCGAGGAAGGAGACCCAATCAGACCGAACCATGGTATCCAGAGGTTTGGCCTCAAATCGGGATACGCGTGCCTGTACCAAATCGCACTTTGCGTCGGCGGTGCATTTCGCAGTCAGCTTGCCGAAAGACCCCGGATTCCGAAACTCTCGGATTAGGCAACCACGATTGGCTGGAGAGATGCAGAGGCAGAGGTGAGAGCCAGACGGACATGCCGGCCGCAAGCACAGCGCCGCGTAGAAGTGCCCGCCAGCATAAAAGAAGAGAGCCAACAGAACACCCGGTCGATACAGCCGGGCGACGGAGGCACAAGCGCAGCACACACAATCGTACGCGCGCACGTACACCCATGCACAGACACACACACACACAGACACACACACACACACACACACACTCACTGGCGTCGCGGCCACGAGCGCGGCGGCGCGGCGTCAAAGAGGTCGAGCAAACGCGCGTACCAACCCAATTCACGCAACGGGGAGAAGCCGGATCCACCCATGGGGGATCCACAACGACCCTCGCGAGGGGGCAGCTTTGAGGGGACAGACGGGGAAGGAGGGAAAGAGAGAAATAGGGGACAGGGAAAAAACGGGGCAACACGACAGTACGAAACTGAAACAGCAGGAGGGGGGCAGCAGGAAACGACAAAGGGGCCCCACCCACACAATCACACACAAACACACATTTTTGTGCGTCGGAGGCTGGGCAATGGGTGACTGCTCCGGCGATATGGCATCAGGGGGCGCACCGCATGCACATTTAGGCCGCGATGCGCGAATGACGAGGAGCCCCGGCGCGACGGGAAGAGGGGGGCCGGGCCCGCTCAGGCAAGCCCCTGGCTGCGGCGGGGGGGAGCGCCGTCGGGGGGTGTCCACCTGCGGCGACGGGCAGCAGCTGGGGGGGGGGGGGCCGGCAGCTCAGCGGCGGTCGGGCGGGCCAAATGGGGGAACAGCACATGCGAAGCGGAGACCACACCAAGGAGGGGCCGGCAGAGTAGGCGGCCCCGGGGACAAGCCAAACCGACGAGACCTAGGGGCGACGAGGCGCGGCTGGAGGCGTGAGTGGCTGAGCGCAGGCTGCCGCGAGAACGCCGCACTAGGGCGGCAACCGCACGCCAGCGCGAAGGGGCAAGACGAAGGACGAAGAGGCGGAGCCACGCCACCAGGGGGAGCGGCGCGGAGCTGGGAGTGCCAGCGGGTGGGCGGGCGAGCGGACCCTTGGACGGGCCGGAGCGCCGCAACCTGGGGGCCCACGAGGCGCGGCGCGGGGCGAAACGGCGGAGCGCTGGCAGGCAAGAGCGCCGCACTGGGCGCAGCAAGCGCCAGCCGGCGTGGAGGCGGCGAACGAAGGCGAAGAGAAAGACCCGCGCCAGGAAGGGGGGGCTGGGGGCGCCAGCGGGGAAGTGGGCGGGCGCCGAGGCCAGAGAGCCTACGAGGCGCGAGGGCGGGAGGGCAGAGCAAGGCGCCGCGGGGTGCGGCGGCGACCCACCCACCAATAGCTCGTGAATGGTCAAGAAGCAGGACTGAACGCCAGGCCGGGAGAGTGGAGGCCCAGGCCAGGGGCGGCTGGGGTCGCCCGGTCGGCGGCGAGGACGGAAAACGCCGAGGCCAACGGCCCAGCGGCGCGGAAGGGAGGGGGCGGACAAGGCACAGGCCAGGAGCGCCTGCGCGGAATGCGCGGCCGACTGGCGCAGGGGGGGCGGCCCACCAGCGCGACCGGAGCCCCCCGACAGCGCGGAGGCGGGGCGGCCCGCCGGCGAGGCGCGGAAGGAGGAGCCGATGCGCAGATGGGAGCGGCCATGGCGCCCACGGAGAGGCACCGCATGAGAACAGCAAGCGAGCGGGCCCACTGGCAAAACTACCGAGGGGACCGCGCGCTGGCCTGAAAACCAAGCAGGGGGGGGAGGGGGGGGGGGACACCGAGCGGGCGCAATGTCGGCTAGGGCCGACCCCCAGAGCCAGGGGCGCCTTCCGCAGCAGCAGCGCCCGGGCGCGCAGACGGCCTGCGGCGAGCTCGGCGCAGCCGCAAGGGTATCTGGGCGGCGCCGAAGCCTGGAGGTGGAACAAACTACGAAAATTGACGACGTCGCGACGGCCGGGGGCCCCTGAAAGAGGCCCCTGACGCCCCCGCCCAACTGAGGCAACGCCTGGCCCGGGCCGCGTCGGGTTGGCCGTTTGCTCGCTGCGCGCCTTTGATAGCGGCGGCCAGGGCCAGGTTGGCATCGAGGGGGTCGTGGCGGAAGAGACCTGGGACAGGGGCGGCGCACTCCCTGCCCTGGGGGGCGCCGCGGCAATCCTCGGCGCTCGAGCTGCCAGCGTTCGTCGGCGTTTGGGCGGGGGGGCGAGGCGAAGCGAACGTGGCAAAGGAGACGCACCAGTTGCGATGCCCGTCGGCGCCGCCCTGCTGCGGCCGGGTCGGCGCAGCCTCGGCGGGGCGCAAGGCGGGGCGCCAGGCGCCGCCCCGTCTGGGCAGCGGCGCGCGATCCACCTGCGCGGAACGGCGCGCTGGAATGCAAATTTCCAGCCGCGGCGATGAAGGGGGGCTCGCGGCGCCCGCGGCGCTGCCCCTCCGAACTGCCATCCTTTCGTGGCGCCGAAGGCCCTTTTCCTGCGCCGGCGAGCCCAGTGGCCCTAGTGCCGCCGCGCGCCCTGGCTGAAGCGTCGCCGAACGAGAGTCCGCGGGCGGGCGCGCGCCCTTCCTGGGCCCAGCAAGGGCCCTTGGAGTAGGGGGCCCAGCAGACCGCCAGGCCGGGGGCGGCGCAGCTCTGGAAGGGGCGGTCCTGGCACAGGGTTCATCTGTCCGCCGCGGGGGCAACTCTGCCACGCGTTGATGTAAGCAGTCGCGGCTGGGGGGTTGTCGGCGGCCCCCGTAATCAACCCCTGCCCCTCGTCTCTCCCGCCGAGCCGCCGAGGGGGGCTCGCGGCCGAGGGGCAGGTGGTGGTCTTCGCCGCGGGCCCCTTCTGTTTCCTGTCACCGGGCCCCCCGGCCCTCTTCTATAAATTTCCCCCGCCGACCGGGGTGCAACTCAGCGGGGCCGTCGTAGAACGGGACGAGTCGGGCGCCCCGGGAGGTCTCGGCAAGCGGCGCGGCGACGCGGGGAGGGCCCCCTTGGGGGGAAATGCCAAAATCCGCCCTGCCAGTGGGTCCCCGCCCATCTCCGTCGCGCCGCTGAGTGCAACGGGGGCGTCCGCGTCGCCCTCAATGAAGGTTCAGGCCAGAATGGGGGGCGCATCCGGACGTCGCGCCCCGGCGCGCGGATGGCGCGCTGAAGCGCGAGCGGGAGCAGAGTGCAGAGTGGGGGGGCGCCGATTGGGCGCGCGGACGTGGAACCACAGCAACCCCCCCCACACACACACTGCCCGGGGCGCACCCCGGGAAAAAAACGCCTCGGCGCACGGGGCGCGCTGGCGGCCCACAACGCCACACTGCCTTGTTCATCATCTCCCCCATTGGGGGGGGCGGCGCGCGGCGGCCGCGGCCTATAGGGGAGGGGCGGGCACCCCGGGAGAGGTTTCGCCGACGCGCGCAGCGGCGGCAGGGGGTGCGGCGGCGATCCCCACCCCCTCGCCCCCCACTGTCCGCACCTCCCGTTGACGACCTTCCGCCCTCTTGCGCTGTTTCCTGTGTAAATTATAAAGAGTTACGAACGGATTCCATGAATTCCGGATAAGCGTTTGAACGAATTCCAACGACGCGCAAAAAACATTCTGAGACATCGCTACCGTTCACTCATGTCTGCTATCATCTCTCTGCTCGTCGGCATCGTTTTCGTCGAACTCACCATCGTCGCCATCGTTATCATCGCCGCCACGACGATGACCACATTCATCGGCGTGGCCATCACCATAATCAACCGTCCTCACAATCCTGCGGCAACCACCATCTTCGTCATCATCACACTCATCGGCGCAAGGTTCGCCATCATCTCGTGCATTAGCATGGCCGCCATCACAATCATGACCACCGCCATAATCATCAACCCGGCTATCATGACATGCTCGCCACGTCGTCATCATAAACGCAGTCATGAGCGTGGTCGTCCTAGCCATCATCCGCACGCCGCCATCGTCTTACTACGATTCATCATCATCGACTCAGTCATCATGAACATCCCACTCGTCAGCAGCATCGCTGCCACCATCACCACCGGCATCGCCAGCACCACATTCATCATCATCGCCATCACCACCATCCTCGTCACCGCTGTCACATTACCGCATCGCCAGCATCACCACCATCATCCTCGCCATGCCCACCATCGCCTTCGACGTCGAATGGGGGGGGGGGGGGCGAAGCGGAGGAAGCGGAAAACGCAGGACGAAGGAAAAGGAAAACTACGCGGCGATGACAGACCAAGACGACCTCCAAAATGGCCCACGATAATCCAGGATGGCCAAACATGGCTTCCGACGCGATCCATCGCGCCCCAAGACCGCCCCACGAAAGGCCCATGTGGCGTCGGAGCCTCAACAGGAGGAAGA